ACTTCAAGGACTAGACAATAAAATATAGCTTTGAATTTAGAATGATAAAGGAATAATTAAAGTTTTCAAGACATCAAGGTGAACTTTTAGGTAAACAGAGAAACTGTTTCTGCTGGCTGTGGAGACCAGAAGTAGGGGTCAAAGATAAGAACTAGATATTTCAAGGCTGAAATTTAGAAGCACAACACACAATGACGACAGAAGTTTGGAATTGTGTTCCATCAATGCCAACTAATAATTAGATGACTAATGTTAAATCTGAGATGTGTAGGTTTTTGTTAAGGAAAAGTGCTAAGGAATATAGAGTAAAGACGAGTATGTGAATTAAGTTCACAGAGCAGCCACGATTTTGGTGAATGAGAAAATACGTTCAAGGAGTTAAATGTATTTTTAAAAGAGATTATTTCACAGTATGTGAGCATTGCTGGCACAGTCAGCATTTGGTGCCTATCTCTAGTTGTTATAGAGAAAATAAAGGTGAGCTGCCTTCTTGAACTGCTGCAGTCCATGTAGAGCAAATATACTCACACTATACTAATAAGCAGAGAGTTCTAGGATATTGACCCAGAGACAGGGAAAGAACAGCAATAAGTCAAGATGGTGTGTGGCTTGGAGTTGATCATGATGTCCTTATCCTTCTAGGTAGTACAAGTCGGGCGTTTGGAAGGTGCTGTCATTGTAGACTGAGCGGATTACTGCAGTGCATGTTATCTATAGTACACCAATACAGCCACTACGTTCTAGTGAAGGGTGTGCGTTTTTAAGGTGGTGGATGGGTGTCGATCAAGCTGTGTGCTGAGATTCTTAAGTGCTGTTGATGCTGTGGTCAGCCTGACAACTGTAAAATATTCACTCAAAATCCTGAATTTTGCCTAGTAGATGGTGCCATGCTACAGGGGGTCATAAGGTGATTTACCTGCCACAGAATATCCAGCCTCTGATTTGGTCTTGCAGCCATGGTATTGATGTGGCTGATGCTTATATGGCCTTAGTCCTGTTTCCAAGGTTCAATGGCAGATTATAAGACAACATCCATGAGGTGTTGTACATTGCAGTAGCCATGTGTTCCACCACACCTGTAGCTAAGGCTTGTCATTTTCTTTGCTCTGCCATTCCCATCAAGCCATGAAACTAGCCATGGTTCAATGAATAGGAGAGCCTGTCAAAAGCAGCAGCTGGTTTACCTTAAAATGAGGTACTAACCTGGTGGATCTAGTACACCACAGGACTATATGCATGCTGTAACATTTTCCTTTCAGGATTGTGGGGGTGCATGCCATAGATAAAACCAAGTGATTTCCCATGACTGTCTTAGCTCTGCAAGTCCTAACACAGTTAGCCATAGGACAACAGAAAATACTAGACCCTTTGGGCCTGCTCCACCATTCATTATCATCATAGGTGATCATCTACCCAATAGCCTGTTCCTGCTTTTCTCCTATATCCTTAGATCTCTTCAGTCACAAGTGCTATATCTAACTCCTTCCTGAAATCATACATTGTTTTGGCCTCAACCACTCTCTGTGGTAGAGAATTCCACCAGCTCACCATCCTGAATCCAGAAATTTCTCCTCATCTCAATCGTAAATGGTTTATCCCATATCCTTAGACTGAGGCCCCTGGTTCTGGACTTCTGTCATTGAGAAAATCCTTCCTTCATCTATCCTGTCTATTCCTGTCATAATTTTATAGGTTTCTACAAGAATTCCACGCCCTCCCTTCTTCTCAACTCCAATGACTATAATCCTAACTGATTCAACTTCTCCTCGTATCAGTCCTACCATTTCAGGAATCAGTCGGTAAAACTTCCCTGCATTCCCTCTGCAACAAGAACAGGCTTTGTATAATTGCAGCAAGATATCCCTGCTTCTGAACTCAAATCCTCTCGTTATGAACGCCAAAATACCATTTGCCTCCTTGACAGTCTGCTGCACCTGCATGCTTACCTACAGCATCTGTGAAGGAGAAAACAGAGTTAACTCAGAAGGTTCTGAGGAAGGGTCACCGGACCTGAAACGTTAACTCTGTTTTCTCCTTCACAGATGCTGCCAGACCTGCTGAGCTTTTCCAGCAACTTTGTTTTTGTTCCTGATTTACAGCATCTGCAGTTCTTTTGGTTTTTGCTTACCTACAGTGACAGATTTACAAGGACACCCACATCTCGCTGCATCTTCCATACTCTTTATAGATATTCAGATGCCAAGCCCCTTTCTGTTTTTGCTTTCAAAGTGGATAACTACAGGTTTATTCACAATATTCTGCATGTGCTATGAATTTGCCCATTCAACTTATTCAAATGATACTGAAGATTTTCCTCACAGCTCATCCTCCCATCCAGCTGTCATCTGCAAATTTGAAGATATTACATTTAGTTCCATAATCTAAATCATTAATACAGGTTGTGAAAAGCTGGGGTCCAAGCACTGAGCCCTGCAGTATCCCACTAGTCACTGCCTTCCATTCAGGTAAATGATCAGTCTATTCCTACGCTGTTTCCTATCTGCCAACAATTTTCAATCCATCTCAATACACTACCCCTAATCCCATGTGTTTTAATTTTACATGCTAATCTATGATGTGGGACTTTGTCAAAAGTCTTTTGAAAGTCCAAATAATCCAAATAAAGTTACATCATCAAAAGGATTCCAGTAGATTTGTCAAGCATGATTTCCCTTTCATAAAGCCTTGCTGAGTGCTCAGTTTTTAAATCTTTTATAATGAACTTGAGCATTTTCCCCACTACCGATGTTAGGCTAATTGGTCTGTGATTTCCGGATTTCTCTCTGCCTCCCTTTTTAAATAGAGGGTTACATTAGCTACGCTTCAATCTGCAGGAAATGTTCCACAGTCTATAGAAACTTTGAAGATGACCACCAATGCATCCTATTTCAACAAGCACTTCTTTAAATGCACTGGGATGTCGATGACCAGGACCTGGGGATTTATTGCCTTCAAACCCATCAATTTCCCCACTACCATTTTCTCATTAATACTGACTTCCATTCAGTTGCTTTCTGTCACTATATCCTGTGTTCACTAATATTGCTGAAATGTTATTTGTGTCCTCACTTATGAACGGGGCAGGTGAAGTATGATATTGATATCTGTTAGGTTATTCACTTTAGTAACAAAAACAGGAAGCCAGATTATTATCAGAATGGTGCTAGATTGGGAAAGGGGGAGATGCAATGACAGCTGGGTATCCTTGTACACCAGTCACTAAAAGATCCAGCAGGCAGAGAAGGCGGCAAATAGTATGTTGACCTTCATAGTGAGAGGATTCAAGCACAGTAGCAGGGATGTCTTTTTGCAACTGTATAGGGCCTTGTTGAGACCACACCTGGAGTAGTGTATGCAGTTTTGATTGACTTATCTGAGGATAGATATTCTGGCTGTGGAGGAATTGCAACAAAGGCTGACCGGACTAATTCCTGGGATGGCAGGACTGATGTATGGAGAGGGATTAGATCAGTTGGGACTATATTTACTCAAGTTTGGAAGAATGAGAGGGATCTCCAAGAAATCTATAAATTGATAACAGGATGGCAAATTTTGTAAACAGAAAAGCCTGGGGAGTTCAGAACCAGGGGTCACAGTCTATCCGTACAAGGTAGGCCATTTCCGATGAGGAGAACTTTATTCACCCAGAGAGCGGTGAGCCTGTGGAATTTTAATGCTGAGACATTGAATGTTTTCAAAGAGTTAGATGTAGCTCTTGGGGCAAAACGGATCAAGGGATACGGGAAGAACAGGTTACTGAGTCGAATGATCAGCCACGATCATACTGAATGGTAGACCAGGATCCAAGGGCTGAATAGTCTATTCATGCGCCTATTTCTATGACCTCTACTTTCAAAGAAACAAAGGGCATGAGGACACCACCACCAGCACATTTACCTCCAAGTCACACACCACTTTGACCTATTTCACAGTTTCTCACAACATTAGAACAAATGTCATGACCTTTACAACTTGAAGGCTTTCATAAAGGGCAACAGTACGCGACAGTCAGGAAATGCAGTGTAGGGTGGTGGAATCAGACTTCGTGCGATAAAAGGTATGGTTAAGGTCAGACATGACAAACCAGGGAGGTTGAGAGATCACTGGGCATGGGAACAGAAAGTTAATGTGTGAGGCTCTGCTGTTGATGGAAGCAAGTTTGGAAAAAGAAGGCAAACCATCAGTTCTTCGATTGAAGTATATATGGTAGATTGGAGATGGGTTGGTAGCATACAGAATGTGGATGTTCGAAGTGAGTGGAAAGGTTGCCAAAAGGGTCATTGGAACAGACATCATTGACCCAGGGATGGAGGAAGGTCTCAGCAGCAGATGGATGGGTGGGTGACGGTGAGGTGGGACAAAGATCTTGAGGGCCAAGTGTGTGTGAACTTTGAAGCCTTGTTCAGACCACTGAGATTTTTCAGTGTTGCAATCAATCCTAATAGGAAGGTAAAGAAAACTACTGCTTTTGTCAGAATTTCTGAAAGACAGTGCAAGTTTAAGTTTGCTAGTCTTAAGCTTTGGGGAGCAATTTGAAGTTTGATTCCAGACTGATTCCTGGATGGAAGGGTTATCTTATGAGGAAAGGTTAAGGAAGTTGGGCCTACATTCTTTGGTGCTTATAGGGGAGCTTATTGAAACATAAGATCCTGACAGAACTTCACATGATGGATGCCCAGTAGGAGGAAAAAAAAAGGAACAAAAACAAAGTTGCTGGAAAAGCTCAGCAGGTCTGGCAGCACCTGTGGAGGATAAAACAGAGTTAACGTTTCGGGTCTGGTGACCCTTCCTCAGAACTGCTCAGAACCCAGTCTTGTGTTATTTTGGCCAATAGTTTACTTCTAAATACTCACTAGGACCTTTCATTTCTCTTTCTGAATTTTCAGTTCCCTTTGTTGCATAAACATCATCAAGCCCATGTATGTGCATCAGATGATGATGCTGCACAGACTCTAACAAGGAGAGAAAGTGCACTAAAACTTTCTTCCAGGTAGTTTTACCTTTACTGATTCCACCAGGCTCTTGGGAAAGAATCTCTTCAAACCCACGTCCTTCCTGTTAAATAGAAAATGAAAAATGTAAATCATTTTTTGTACCAAAGTAAAAGTCCTTGCTCATTGATCTAGAACTACAAAAACAGGTGTTAAAACAATTATTCCATTATTACAAAGTTGAAGTTGAAGTTTTTTTTTATAAATGATGCCTTTTTGTACATGCCTTCCTTAGTACATATTGCACGTAACAATGAGAGGCGGCATCACAGCACTCTAGCATGCTGGAAAGGTCAATATCATTACTACACAGGTGCAGAGCATTAATAACAGAACATCCCAGCTCACAAGCTGTTCATTAGTTAGTCAGATGAAGGAACTTTTGGGAACTGATATGAACATTGCAGTATGGATAAGGAACTTTGCAGTGACAAAGATAAAGATAAAATTGCTATCGGACCATAGTGCTAGAAGATGGATCTCTCATTAAAGTGAGATGACTGGTGTTCAGTTTAACCTAAGGGGACCATAACTTAGGCAAGGGGCAAGGGGCAAGGTTGAGAAGGTAGGACCTTCATGGTGACCTCAGTAGGTATGGAAATTTAACCCATGCAATTGGTATCACTCTGAATCATAAACCACCTGTCCAACCAACTGAGCTAATGGTCCCCAGTAAGAAAGTGCTAGTGGACAGGCATTTTTCAGGTTGAAAGGTGGTTTGCAGCAGTGTTGTTTAGTTGCCTCAGTTTTGGGTCCAGTATAACTTGCAAATTTTTTAAATGAATGATAGACTCGGGAGCAGACTTACCAAGTTTGCAAATTATATAAAACTTGGTTTGGTAGTAGACAGGGATGAAGATAGTTGTAGATTTTCAAAGGACATAGGTAAGGTGGTGAAATGAGCAGGAACAGATGGAGTTCAAAATAGGGACATAACTAGGATCAGGAGTAGGCAATTTAGCCCCTCAAGCCTGCTTCACTATTTAATACGATCTTGGCTGATCTCATCTCGGCCTAGACTCCATTTTCCTGCCTGCTCCCCCTAAGCCTTGAAACTTTTTCTAATTAAAAATCTATCTCCTCTTTAAATTTATTCAGTGTTCTGGCATCCTCCAGATCTCGGGTAGTGAATTCCAAAGATTCACAACCCTTTGTGAGAAGTAATACCATCAATTCCCTTTAGCATCTTATATCTCAACTAGTTCCTCTCTCATCCTTCTAAATTTTGTGAGTATAGGCCTAAATTACTCACTGTCTCTTCATTAGAGACGCTTTCATCTCTGGAAATAATCTAGTGAACCTCCTCTGAACTGCCTTCAAAGAAATTACATACTCCCTCAACTTGGGGGACCAAAGTGTACACAGTACTCCAGATGCAGTCTCTCCAATGCCTTGTACAATTGCAACAACACTTCCCTGCTTTTATACTCCATTCCATTAGTAATAAATGGCAAAGTTCCATTTTCAAGGCAGAGAAATACAAAGTGACACACTTTAGGACCACCAATATGGAAAGACAGCATAATATAAATATGTATCCAAATTTTCCTCCTGTTCCTTCATTTTTACTTCCTTGGTGTATGGATTCAATTCTCTTTTGAAACGGAATCACTCCATCTACTGTCACGTCTCCATGCGGCGATACATTCTAAATCCAAACCACTTTTCGTACTGAACCAATTTCTTTAGTTTTGCAGTTTAACGAGAATAATTTCAACTGTGCAATTTGCTCATCTGGTTTACGTAACATTACTGTTTTCTGAATGGCATAAGTTAACGTTAGTTATTAACAATAAAAGGAAATTACTCAAAATTGTCGGCTCTCTTGAACAGAACTTTCTAGCTTATACTAGCACATCAGCAGCTGTCTGTGTTACACAGCGACTCTTATACTGACCAACAAGGCTCCATTGGTAAAACCCCTACCTCCAATTCAGAAATCCACTCCAGGAGTTCAGCATCTAATTTGGGCCTACCTATTCAGTGCCGGAAAAGTGCTGCAGTGCTAAATAAGCTGTTCTGTTTCCATCAGATCTTAAACAAAGGTTCTGCCAGTCAATAAAAATGTTCCACATGTACTTTGCATATGATTCTTAAACATTTTCCCACAATTCTTTCAGCCATTGTACATTGCATATATCCCCACATATATTTTAATTAAGGTGTAATTCAAATAAAAAATGTTTTTTGTTTTGCTGCCCTTACAAACAATTCTTCCTCATCCTGTGCTATTTGTAGAGTATTGTGGTGCTCAAACAGGTTGCTGCAGTTGTCTGTCTATTTGTGACTTCAAAGTTAATTTACTGCATATGAAGCATTTCAGAGTGTTTTTAAACACTTAACATACCACTAAATAAATGCAAATTATCACTTTTCTTTACATATCTAAGCATCAAGAGCAAGCATCAACAAGCTGCTGACCTACAGTCGTCAGTGATACTAACTTTATCCAGATTCTATACTTACTTTCTGGAAAGGCATCACTGATTAACAGATTCCTGCTTTTAAGTTTTTCTCTCCTGCCCAGGCTTACAATTTTGCATTCTGACATTTTTCATATGTTTCCTCAATACTTGTCCACATTCTTCTGGTTACAAAATCCAATCGCTTCCCTTGTATGTTTTCAGAGACAGTTGTTTTAACTAAATGGTTCCCAACCTTTTCAGTGTCAAGGCACACCCACATTTTTCAATCAAATTGATTGCTCATAAATGTCATATTTTCTTGCATTTAATATGGTTATGGCCTTACTAGGTTAACTCTGACTCTCTGTACACAAAATATTGAACAAATGTGATTTCAGTGGCCATGATTTATGAAATTTACAATTTTTACGGCTTGCTCGAACACTGCAGCTAACTCTAGTGGTTTAGTTTTGCTACAAGAGCTTCCTGGTGGAGAATGGTCTGAAAGTCAGGATTTTAGTCTTTAAACCTACTGGCAAATCCTTTGACTTTCTGCATTGTGCAGACTGCTCTGTCAGTGCAAATGGTCCAACACATAGTCCAGGTAAGATTGGTTTCCCTTAAATTTGCCCAGTTTGGGTTTCACCAAGGCCACTCAGCTCCTAACCTCATTACAGCCTTGGTTCAAATATGGACATAGGAGCTTAATTCTAGAGGTGTGTGACAGCTCTTGATATCAAGGCTGCATTTGACAGAGTGTTAACAAGGAGCTCTGGGAAAACTGGTATCAATGGGAATCGGGGACAAACTCTCTGCTGGTTAGTCATACCTGCCACAAAGGAAGATGATTGTGGTCTTTAGAGGTCAGTCGTCTCAGCTACAGACATCTCTTGCCCTGGACCCAACCATCTTCAGCTACTTCATCAACGATCATCCCTCCAGTATAAGATCAGAAATGGGGATGTTTGCATAATGTTCAGCATGACTCATGACTCCTTAGATACTAAATAAGCCCATGTTTAATACAATAAGGTCTGGACAATATCGAGGTTGGAGCTGAAAAGTGGCATCTAACATTCAAGCTACACAAATCCCATACATTCTAACCACCACCCCATGACATTCAATGGCGCCACCATCACTGCATCCCTGACTATCAACATCCTGCGGATTACCAATCAACTGGTCTCACCATATAAATACACCAGCTACAAGAGCAGGTCAGAGGGTAGGAATACTGCAGCAACTAATTCGCCTCCTGACTTTCCAAAGCCTGTCCACCATCCACAAGACACAAATCAAGAGTGTGATGGAATACTCCCCACTTGATTGGATGGATGTGGCTCCAACAACACTCAAGAAGCTTGACATCGTCCAGGACAATGCAGCCTACTCATTGGCACCACATCCACAACCATCCACTCCCTCCACTACTGACGCTCAGTAGCAGCTGTGTGTACTATCTACAAAAATTCACTAAAGATCCTTAGACAGCACATTCCAAACACAGGATCACTTCCATCTGGAAGGACGAGGGCAGCAGATATATGGGAACATTACCTCGAAGTTCCCCTCCAAGTCACTAACCATCCTGATTTTGAAATATGCCACCGCCCCTTCATTGTCTCTGGGTCAAAATCCTGGAATTTCCTCCCTATGGAAACTCACCACCACCTTCTCAAGGGCAACTAGACATGGGCAATAAATGCTGGACAGTCAGCGATGTCTATGTCCCAAGAGTGAGTAAAAACAAAGTAGGTAGCTGTTACCCGAAATAATTCTTCACCAGTGGCATGACTTCGTAGCTTCTTACAAAAAAATTTCTCTTAAGTGGAGTCTCATCAATATACTGAATGTTTGGCCAGCCGCTGGCAGCATTCACTTTATATCAGTGGATTCATCAATCTGTAAAGCAAACTTCCCACTAGTAGCTAGATTCTTTTGCAGCACCTCTCAATATCAGCTAACATGTCATCAATTCTTCGTCTACCTTCATTATTTGAGAGTGGAACATTGTCTATCTTTTGCAAGATCAGTTCCTGACAGCACACCTATGATTGTTTTACATGCAGGCATGATTAAGGCTTCAGCAATAGTACGGGGCTTCTTCGATTTTGTTACAAGCTCAGCCACCAGGTAACTAGCCCCTTGAGCTTTATCCAATACCCACATCGCTCAGACACTGGGGCTGCTTGATGTTTTGCTCAGTCAAGCTCTTGAAGTACTATAAAACTATAATGATATTGGATCAGAATTAGGCTATTTGGCACACCGAGTCTGCTCCACCATTCAATCATGGCTGATAAGTTTCTCAAGCCCATACTCCTGCCTTCTCCCTGTAACCTTTAATCCCCTTACCAATCAAGAACCAATCTATTTCTGTTTTAAATACACTCAATGGCTTGGCCTCCACAGCCTTCTACAGTAATGAATGCCACACTCACTATCCTCCAAGTGAAGAAATTCTTCCTCATCTCTGTTCTGAAGAGTCGTTCCACCACTCTGAGGCCTTGCCCTCGGATCGTAGTAAGCAAAGGGATAATGGAGGAATGGGGTTTTTGATACAGGTAGAGTTTTGAATGTTTCCAAGTTTACAGTGGGTAAAATTCAGAGGGGTGGCCAATGTGATAAAGGTTCATAATTTCTTATAATTTGGGAA